TGCACAGAGGGTCAGTGCAGAGCTGCAGAGCTGTCTGAAACATGCTTAGAATTAATTTGGAAAAGCGTCATCAACAAGAATTAGAGAATGTTTTGGCTTTGGTGCTGTCCTCACCATGTGGAAACACTGAATCGCCATTCCTGAGTCATATTTAAAAGTTCACTGCTGTACTTCTCAGAATTGATCTTAATTCTGTACCTTGTCCTGGAAAGCATTTCAGCTTCCAAAAAAATGCACTGCTGGAAGTGGGCTGATTAGTTTAAAGAGTAAAGCTGCCTCTGCAACCCGAAAGCAACAAACAAAACTGTCAGGCTTGCATTTTTAAACATCTTTCATTTTCAACATCTGGATTAAGATGCCACAATGAAAAACAGCACACGGGCTCCTCACTGCTGCTCCCACAGATCTCCCATCCCCGTGCTCCAGAACCAGTGAGCTTCAAAGCAAACAAAGCATCACTTGGTGCTGTTAATGCCTTGCTTCTTACTCAATAGCCTGATGTCATGAAAAGTCCATATTTTTCAAATCCGTGTCTCTGCGAGCCAACAATTTCATACACATTCCCACCCTGAAAACACAAAGTCAGGGATACAGCTGAAAGTTATTAACTGGATAGTTTTATATGATGAAACTCAAAAGCTGCTTCAAGTGATTTACCAAATCTTCTGTCAGACAAATCCCACATCTGTGCTGACCACTTTGCCTCCCAGGCCTCAGCAGATGGTGACGGCAAAGAGGAAAGTCCCTGAAAACCAGGGTATATCTTAAGCTGTATGCAAAGGTTGGAGTCTCCCCACCTCCCCACAAAACAAGCAGACAGTGTAATTTAATGGCATTTTCACCTCAATAACTGCAGCCCAGTTGGTGCTGCAGTGCATCCCAGATCATTCTCAGTGCAGTCTCATTAGCAGAGCTGGAGGTGTTCTTAAGCAGAAAGACAGAACTTTTTCTTGGGGACAAAGGACAGAAAACGCTAAAAAATCTACTAATAATGAGAAATGAATATTTGTTGTAATAGACTTCATGAGACGTGGTCACATTTTAGCCTCCATCTCACAACCAACCTTTTACCTGCAGAGATGGAGATGCACTCACAATGCAGGCTCTCCCAAGCCTGTCCAGTCAGGTTCACCCATTGCATTTGACTAGCCACTAAAATAGCATCCAAAACGGAGAGCCAGCTCCTTCCACCTCCTGAGGGCAAAACAAAGAGGCTTTTCTCTCATACAGAGACAGACTACACGCCTCTCTGTCACAGAACTCACATTTTATATTAGGGTGGGAGATAACACGCAGACCAGCATACACAAATCCAGCCTTAAGATAAAGGAAAACCAAGCAAAACATATTTACCAGCATGAGCAGAAAGAGCTTCAAATTGTTTTCAGAGACTTCACAGAGCAATCACAGAAATGTAATAAATGTGCTTTGCATTTGTTTAAAAGCAGAAAAGAACTTTTCCAGCCCCACTGGAAGCAGTTCTGCCTTGCCAGGACGCATATGGGCAACATTCAAGCAGACACAGAAATACAGTAGAAAGAAAACAGAAATTGGGAGGCAGAGCACAGAACAGACACCGCTGTGCTCAGAATGGCTGCACCAAGACAGTGCAATTAGGAAAACCAGGATTAAAAAGAGAGAGATGACTGTGCCAAATAAGTAACGAGTAAAAACAAAAGCAAGGGCAAAATAACAACAGCAAAAAATGCAGTGCTTCTCTCCCAGTGACGATCTCTGATGGTCCCTTGGCAGTCTCCTCCAGCTCAGGATATCAGTGCAGACCCAGCAGCACTATTTCTCCTCCACTCTACTGACCCTTCTGCCATGCTGCCATACACAGGGACAGCACGTAGCTGACACCAAAACGGGGCACTTCTGTAGCAAAGACCACTAAGAGGACACACAGCTGGGGGGACAGAATCACACTCTGGAATCCTCCAGCTCCCTGGGCAGCCGCGCCACTGCAGCACCACTCTTTCCTTTTCCTGATACCCACGGCATGCTCCTGCAGAAGGATCTGTGCCATAAACATCCCAAAGGCTCCTAAATTCACCCAACACAGGTGACAGGAGACCCTGGAGATGGTCCCAGGAGGTGGTGGGGCTGCTGTCCCATCTCATCCCATCCTGGGACAGGGCACAAAGGCAGATGGGGCTGCTGACATTACTGAGCTGGGGCAGCAGTCAGCAATTACTGCCATCATTAAACCAATTCTCCAAAACTTGAGCAGCTGTTTGTGCAAGCAGATAACGACAGGGTGATGCTAAACCAAAAGCCCCAAAAAAACAAAGGCACGGATCGACATCTCTCTCTCATGCTCTGCTCAGCAACTCCGGGCACTACCAGAAGATAAATCAATTACCAACAGCTGCATTATCTGTCCCCAAAGCCAAACACAAACTGCTTCATTGAGGGCTGTGCATGAAGAGCCCAAGGCCTCCGATCTCATTCGGTGCTCTTGAAAAAAGCCAATAACATGTCTGTCTGTGGCTCAGACAGAAGCACGGTGCCATCCTCCTCATTAATCAAAGGCTTTCCCCACGTCCACATGTTTGCTGACTTCTGCTGCTCTCTTTTATTACTCGTTTGGAAACAGAAATTGCTAGATGCTGAAGTTTCCCCAATTCAGCTGGTCTCTGCGGACTGTTCCGCCCTTGCTATCTGCAGCCTGGCATTATTGAGTTACTGAGGAATTCCATGAGGAGTGGCTGTTTCCTTTGACAGCCCATACTGCTTGCTCCAATTACCATAGGAGCAAGATGCTGTTTTCCTCTGAGGACTGTGGGAATTTTACTGCCAGCCCCAAAAGGAAGCAGCTCCTTCAATCCAGTGCCAGAGCTTGGAAAGAGGGAGAAATACAAAGAACAAAAACCACCACAGAGTATCACAGAATGGCCTGGGTTGAAAAGGACCACAACGACCATCTAGTTTCAACCCCTTGTTATGTGCAGGGTCACCAACCACCAGGGCCAGGCTGCCCAGAGCCACAAATGTGCACCAGAGATAGGCAACGCCTGCACTGATAAATATTTCAGCAGTCTGACAAGCAGGAAACCAGCACCGTAAGAGCCATGATGTTCAATAATTCCGAGCAGCAGCAACACGGACAATAACTCATCTCCAGCCAATGCTGTCACAGCCTCCAACAAACCAACACGCAGCGGTTCTCCCAAACCTCCAGGCTGGGCAATGCACTGAGGCCGAGCGCTCAGGGATGAGGTTCAGCTCCCTGCCCAAATCTCCCACATCTCTCCCTCTCTCTCATCCCTGTTCTGTATCCACACGATGCCTTTTTGCTACTAAATCTACACAATTCTCCAGGGCTTGGCTCACACCGAGCTCAAAAAGAGCCTTCAGAGCAAAAGAGCCATAACTCAACAAGACGGCCTGCGTTTTTTTTTAATGCTTTTGTTTCAAAACAAATTAAGCCTGCAAGGTACTGAACATATGCTGCACACCCCCGGCTCCTGCTGGCACATGTTTGAAAAATAGAAAGTTTGTGCTTTTCTAGACAGCCAGGTCGTTAGCCCGACTATTTAAAAATCAGCCCATTATACGAGGAGTCTTGGAGCTGCCTGAGCTACAGATTATAAATCTCCTGTTTAGAAACCTGATATCCTGACATAATTGCCCTTATAACTTACAAATAGGTTCTCTGTTATCCGCAGATTAAACTTCCTCCAAAGCCACATCACATCTGCTTAGTTTTGAAAATATACAGCACAAGCTTCGATTACTTTACACTCCGCACAAAAATAATCCTGAATTTAACTCAGGGTTTCTTGGAATAAGAATTTAAGACCCTATAATCTTTTAATTTCACGTTTTCTCGCAATCTAATAGATGGAAGCACTGACCAGAATATGAAATTAATGCCACCTTCCACTTCAACTACATCCCAACAGTTTAACTCTGCTGAAGTGGAATCTTCAAAGCAAATACGAGAGGCAGAAAGTCCCCCATCTAAACAATCTGCAACGTTCTGCAGGGAAACTGCCAGCTTCTAATTGGAACCACAACCCTCCCGTGCCCCTGCACTGAGAGCTTTTGGCTCTCAAGACAGCAGCTTTGGATGCAATTCCTCTGAGGGACGAAGCAAGTTCCTCACTGAACAAACCGACCCCAGCGCCCACACAGCAGCGCTTTGGCTTCCAAGGGAAATCGGAGCCTTCAGCGCAGCACCCAAACACCAACCCTGCACTGAGCAGAACGAGCTGAAATGTCACCACTGACGCTGCTCAGGATAGGGGACACCCAACAGCGAGCCCAGATGGCAGCGAACGTCTTAAAGATGTCCGTGCTGATGCAGACAGAGGGCTCAGAGCCCGCTGGGGATGGAGGAGCCTCCTCTGCACCAGGGATGCTCAGGCACAGCCGCACCTTACGGAGCTCAGCCCCAAAGCTGTGGGGTGAAGCTCCCAGCACTCAGCCAGGAGCTGCAATTACGCTCCAGCAAGACGCTGAGAAATGGCACGGCGGGGCTCCATCTTTCTCGTTATTGCTCAATGGTTTCAGGGAAGATCGGATTTGTAGAGACTTTTTTTTTTTCTTTCTTTCTTTTAAATAGCAAAGCCGGGAACTCGTCGAAATCTGAAAATCCGCTCTTTCCTTCGCAGCCCGGCTCTGCGTGCTTTACGGAGCTCTTTCCGTCTGCCATTTCTCCGTCTTTCAGCCGAAACGCCGCCGATGAGGGGCCGTAACTTGTAGCGCAGCGCAGCGATCAGCTGCTATGCAAACACCGCGACCGAGCAGCGCCGGCTCAGCTCCGCCACCTCGACCAGCAACCAAAGCCCGGCTCCGAGCCTCCCAACCACCCGACCCCCTCTAACAGCCCATAGAAACCCAAGCCCCCCCCCCTCACCCCCAGCTTCACGCCCGCTCCCCACCGCCCGCCCCGGGGTCTCGGAACTTTCCGGAAGCTCCGCTCCCCCCCGCGCTGCGTTCCGGCCCGCCGCCCCCCGGACAAAGCCCCTCTGCCTCCCCGCGGCTTCGATTCTCACCTTGCGGTGTTTCTCGGCGAAGGGCAGCGCCAGCCAAGGCATGGCCCGCACGGCCTCCTGCCACTGCTGCTGCTCCTGCTCCGCCGACACGAAGACGATCTCGAGGCGCTGAGCTCCGCTCGCCGCCGCCGCCTCCCCCCTAAAGCGCCCGTAAAAGGCGGCCAGGCTGGCGCCGAGCTGCGCGCAGGGGCCGCTGAGGCTGCAACCGAAATACAGCCCAACCAACGAAACCCCGCGGGCGGCCAACGCCGACACCGCCACCTCCTCGCCGTCCGCCGACACCAACACCTCGCCCAGCACCTCCGCCAGGGCGCCCGCCATCCCGCGCCTCTCCGCTCCGCTCCCCGATCCCGCTCTGCTCCGCTCCGCTCCGCCCGGCCCGCCAGGGGGCGCTGTTGTGCGCTCAGGCCCGCCCCCGCCGCGCCCGGCCCGACCCCCGGCGGCACCGGGGTGGTGCTGAGGAGGGGGGGGGGGGTGGTTGATGGCGGTGAGCCGTGCTCGGCCCGGTGGGTCGGAGCGGACGGGGAGAGCTTTCGGGAAGCCTGGAAAGTGCTCGTTGTTTTTCACAAAGCGACACGAATTGCGGCGTAGCTCCATCCGCGGAGCGAGGGAACCGAAAGGGAATCCTGAAGTGCACGGGATCGATGGGCTGCATCCCCAAGTGCCGGGCTGTGGTTCTGACAGCACACCCGAATTAAAGAGGGTTTTCTTCCCGGATTTTGGATGGCCATAACAGCCCCATGTGTGGGCCAGAAGGTTGCGTGGAGGAAAAGGACCTGGTTGGGTTTTAGGAAACATTTCTCTTCCAAAACAGCCGTGATGCTGTAGCAGAGGCTGCTCAGAGAGTTGGGAAGGTCCCCATCCCTGAAAGTGTTCCAGGTCCATGCAGATGTGCTGCTTAGGGACACGGTTAGTGGGCAGAATTTGTGGTGGGGGCACTGGTGGACTGGATTCTGTGAAACTACAGCTTTAACTCATGTGGTAAGATTATCTTAGAGGTCTTTTCCAGCCTTTATTCCACCTGGCTGCAATACAGAGAGGAAATAATGCCTGGGTCGTGACACACAAACCAGGAACTGGAACAGATTTGCTCCTCACGACCCAAATGTGCTCCCCTTATCCCCATTTATCCCCATTTATCCCCATTTATCCCCATTTATCCCCATTTATCCCCATTTATCCCCATTCACTTTCCTGGGTCAGCCCTGCAGATTCTCCCAATGGCCGCTGTGCAGACACCGATTTCTGCAGCCCTTCCTTATTGGGCCTCTTGTTATTGCTGCTTCCAACGATGCTTAACATTGTATGGCATCCAGAACCATCAGGGGATGCTTTATAAATACAATTAATTATCACTGTTATTACAGCATTACAATCTCTCTTTTCCTGTGCCAAGACCTGCTCCCTCGGGGTGGTTCAAAGCCAGAGGAGTTTTGCCTTGTTTTTATTTGTCCCGCCTTATCTACATTAATTAAGTACTGGGGCTCATTAGGGCAGGGGAGCTGGTTTTGAGCCTGTGGCCCTGAACTCAATGAACCTATGTAGCAGCTGTAAAAATTACGGCTGCAGTCAATGGGCCTGACCTGTGCTCGTTGAACCAAGTAGAAGAGACACAGAGCAACTAAAAAGCATTGCTTGCTCTTAAAGAGCAACCAGATCAAACGGGGAAAGGGCTGGCAGCCCACCTGCAGCCCCATAGGGTAAGGAGATGCGGTGTCGGAGAGCGGAACCCGGCGGATCGGACCCCGCTTCCTTCGCCCGACCCACCGGCTCCGCACGGAGCGCGCTCCCCGATCCTCTGTCGCCACCGCGCGGCTGAAGGCGGAACTGCAGCCGGGACCTCCCGCCGCCCGCGGAGCCTTACTGGGCGCTGCGCTGTCGGATGTCCTCCTGTTATTCTACAGCTGGCGGTGCAAACAGCAGCGGAACACCAGTTCACACGGGTACAAAGAAGCCAGGCGACCTGCAGGATGAACTTACGGAGTCTGCATCCAACCCGCACTTCCCCTGGTGCAACGCGAGACCATCTCCTCTCATCCCATTGCAGTTACCTGGGAGCAGAGGACTCCCACCTCACCACATCCTCCTCTCAGGGAGCTGTAGTGAGCAATGAGGTCCCCCCTGAGCCTCCTCTTCTCCACATCGAACAATCCCAGCTCCCTCGGCCAATCCCCATAAGCCTTGTGCTCACAGCCCTTCTCTGCAAGCATCCCAGGGCCTCAATGTCTTTCTTGCAGTGAACGCACAACTCAAGGTGCAGCCTCAGTGCTGAGCACATGGGGAAACTTGAGAACACTTGTGTGAGTTTAAACAGGAAATCTGTCCCTGCATACCCAATAGAGAGGCTGCCCTGCAGCTGGGGTCACTGTAGCCTGAAATCATTAGCACTGTTTGCTATATATGTACATACAAACAGCAACTTTCTCAGCAGTCAGATGGTTACACATGAGGAGCTGTCTGAAGATGGCTGCTCTGGGATGTCCCCTGTACAGCAGTGCCAAACCTGTGTGCTCCATCCATCCCTGGCCAGACAGCAGCTCTGATCATGCTCTCCTAGGGTCTGATGCTTAAATAAAACTCAACTTCATTGCAAAAGGCTCTTTAGTTTCTAATTTAGCTGTATTTTGAACTCAGGGGGGAGTGGATTTTCCACGGTATCTGGACATCAGCCAACAGCAAGGTCCCTTAAAAGAAAGGGGCTTTCTTCAAACAGATGAGTGTCTGACACAAATCTGTTGTGTTCTGACATTTTTCTTATATGGCAGCTCTTAATCTTAATGGTTCCAGACACGGTGCATTTGTGAGGTTTATTTTAGTAGCAGGATGTTGGCTGCATTTCAGAATATGGATGTACGGATCTGGCGAAAACTCGGGGAAGGAAAACTCTGCTGGAAATCTGCAGAGGAAAAGCCTGCTGCTGCTCTCCCAGTGCTGCACACTGCTGTGAATTTCCTCCATTCTGGATTTACATCAGCATTGCTGAGAAGATCCCAGTTGTTGGAAGCAGCTCACAGAGGGCAGCCCAGCTGTGTGCTCCAGCCGGTTCCTCACCAGTCACACATTAATTCCTTTAAACACCACCATGTTAAGGTACCAGGCTGCCTGAGCACATCGCTGGAGGTCTGAACTGACCCAACTCAGTGATGTTACACTCTGGAGGAATTTGACCCTTCAAATTCTTCTCCCTGATGTTGCAACACATCCGGGCTGCTGGGAGAGCTGGGTTCAAGGCTAGCCTACCTTTGACCCTCACCATCTGGCTGAGGCTCCAGCAGATGGGCTCCACAGATGCCACGGGGCAGCTGGAACCGTCCCTATCCCTGCTATGGAAAGGGATGGAGCAAATGTGCCAGCACGAGGCTCAGCTTGCCTCATCACAACTCCTCTGTGCATGTCAGGCATTCCATTAGCCCAGAGCCTGCAGGTGCCACTGTAAAGAATCACAGAACCATTAAAATTGGAAAAGACCTCCAAGGTCATCTAGTGCAACAATTTTAGGTACCCCCTAAGCTCGAAGAAGAAAGGTTTTATTCTTTTCCCCAGGTTTCTGTTGGTTCTCTTTGCCAGCACGGGATTTATTCTTTTTTTTTTTTGTCCCAGCAGGATCACAGCAAACTTGAAAGGGATTCACACACTCAGTTTGTCGAGGGCTGAATGGTACCATCAGAGCATTGTCTGTCCCCTCCTGCCTCCAGGCACCACAGGAACCCCTCTGTCCTCAGGCAGTGGACTTGTGACTGCCAGGAGGGACGTTCATCATCCACTGCTGACAACTTCTATTTCTTCACAGCTGCCCCAAAGGTGCAGATTTGCAGGCAGCTCGGACTCCTGCAGCCTCGAGGATCAGCTCACAGCGGGATCAGACACTGTGGTGACCTGTGGTGCCCAGATTCTATCATGGCACTTATCAAAGGCTATGATTCACCACTCCTGCACAGCGCTGCATGATGTCACATCTTAGCCAAAGGAGCAAAGGGGAAGGTGAAACATTAACGAGGCTTTACATTTTTGGGAGGTGACATCACAGCTGCAAGTCACTGAGACAGGGTATAAGCAGTTACAGCTTCTATGTATAAGCAATCCTCCCTTTCCACTGTAATTTTCCATATGGTGGAAACAGATCTGGGGACAGCTGCTTGGTTCCAAGCACCTGCACATAGGTAGAATTTCACCTTTGTAGGAACACAGAATCAATAAGGTTGGAAAAGATCATCTACTCTAACCGTCAACCCATGCCCACCCTGCCCACTAAACTACATCCCTCTGTGCCACATCTCCCCTGCTCTTGAAAACTGTTCTAGGGATGGTGACTCCACATTCCCTCATAACAACCTGAACTCCCACTCAAAATATGGTCCTTCATGGGCATCCCAGCAGAGGTGTGATCCCACCATTGTCAGCACCAGCCAGCTGGATGGGGGATCCCTGGTTTGGAGGACGAGAGGTGACAGCCTTAAGTTGTGCCAAGGGTTGTTCAGGTTGGATAACGTTTCACAGAATCACAGAATGGCCTGGGTTGGAAGGGACCTCAAGGATCATGAATCTCCACCCCCCCTGCCACATGCAGGGCCACCAACCTCCACATTTAATACCAGCTCAGGCTGCCCAGGGCCCCATCCAACCTGGCCTTGAACACCTCAAGGAACGGGGCATCCACAGCCTCTCTGAGCAGCTGTTCCAGCACCTCACCACTCTCTCTGTAAAGAATATTTCTTCTCTGCAAGAACAGTCAGGCAGTGGCACAGCTGCCCAGAGAGGTGGGGGAGTCCCTGGAGGTGCTCAGGAGCCATGGAGATGTGGCACTGAGGGACGCGGTCAGCGGGCACGGTGGTGGTGGGGATGGAATTAGGGTTCTCAGAGGTCTTTTCCAACCCTGAACGGCTCTGTGATTCTACTACAAGCCCCGAGTGCCCCTACTGATGGGGAATCCACAGGGTGCTGATGGCAGGGGAGACGTGCCCGGAGTACGCGCTGAGAAATCCCTTTGTCTTCCATGGGCAAACCCTGACCACCAAACCCGCATCCTCCTGCGCTGGGCGCACACACGCGGATCCTCCCGCACGGCAGCCCCGCTCCTCGCGGCGCTCCGACCCGCACCGCCCCCAGCCGGCAGCCCCACGGCCCGGGGGCGGGGAGGCCGTGCTCATAGGGCGGGCGGGCGGCCCCGGCGGAGCGGCGGTGCGGCCCCATGGCGGAGACGGGCGGGCTGACGGCGCGGTGCCTGCGGGCTGCGCGGCGCCTCCTGCCCGCGGGGGTCCGGCGGGAGAGCGGGGAGCTGGCCCGGCTGGCGGGGCCGGTGGTGAGAGCCGGGGATGCGGGGACGGGAGCGGCGCGGGGCGCGGGGGGGCCTGAACGGAGCTTTCGGCTGAGCTTTCAGCGGAGCCGGCGTTGCTCCGAGGCGCTTCGGTGCCGCCTGCACCCGCCTGCCGATACGGACGGGGCTCGGCTGTGGTTCATCCTTTAGCTGTCACCCAGCGCGGCGGATTCCCTTCCAGCCGTATCCTTCCCCCGGCGGTGCGCTGGGAGCCCGGGCTTTGCTGCTGGCTTGGGCTGAAAATCCGTCTAACTGGATGCTCTGTGTTCTGAGCCCTCCGCCCCTCCTGGTGGACGAGGACCAAGCGGAGCAGCTTTGTCCTCAGTGACACTCACGTGGCCCCAATGCCGCGGTGCAGCAGAGGAAGTCACGGTGGTTTCTGTTCCGTAGCAGTGCCCATCAGCCCCTCAACGCTTCCATCCCCTGCTTGGTGGGCACAGAGAGCCTCAAAGCAAACCTAGTGCTGCTTGCCAGGTTTAGCTCTCTGTGCTAGAGCAGTCACAGAGGTACAGAGCTCTCCTGCAGGGATTACTCACAGCTGCTTGGACGTGCTGAGACGGGCCTGAGACAGCGCAGCATCCGCAGGCAGCAGTGGGAGGTTTGGTTTGGTTCTTCCTCAGACCTCGCAGGAGCCAGTTCTCCAGCAGCTCTGGAGCCTGCAAGGAAGACAGGACTGTGAGCAGCCCCCAGGCATGGCTCCCCAGCTGTACCCACCTGCCACGGGATCTCTTGCTCTTACCATCCTCTTCCAGCAGTTCCATGCTGCATCGGGGTTGACCTCTTGCCATGGAAAAATGAGGTCCTGAGCTCAGTGTCTGTGACAGCATCACCAATCCTTGCTGGAGAGGAACGTGCAGGCCAGACTTAGAGGAGAGGACACTGTGTTTTGGGGAGCTGAGCTTTCCCCAGATGCATAGAAGTGCAAAAAAGCACTGGGAGTTTTCTTTCTCTATTCAGCTTTCATGATGGAAAAGAGGCTTTCCATCCCAAGAAGGGAACCATTAAGCCTCAGCTAAACAAGGCCATCAGCTAAACAAGCAGATCGGCTTTGTAACACCAAAACACTGCTGGGTCTAAGGACAAAGCCACCAGCAACCTGGGGAAGCTCGCCGTTGGTTCAAACCCAACTGGCCATGGCCCAGCTGCAGGGGGAGGGCAGTGCTCCTCTGTCCCAGTGGTGCTCACTTCTCCATCTCCTCTTCCCATTCTAGTTTGTAGCCCAGCTGCTGGGGTTCCTGATCAGCGTGGTCAGCTCTATATTCTGCGGCCATCTGGGGAAAGCTGAGCTGGATGCTGTGACGCTGGCCGTGTCTGTATGTATTGCCCTGCTTACCCTCTGATTTGAGACATGAAAATGGTGAGATATCAAAAAAGGGGAATAGAAAAGAAGAAGGGGCAAAAGAAAAGCCCTGGAGGAATGCTTATCTGAGGATTCTTTGCGCACAGCCTGTTGCAGCACAAAGATTGCATCCTTCCAAATTGTTCCTGCCTCCTGAGCAGACGCAGGAGATGTGAACTGAACAGCAGTGACTGTGCAAGGCCAGCAGCTGGGCAGCAAGACCTGGCTGTGTGTGTGTGTGGTGGGGAGCTGCACTGTTTGTAGTCCTTTAGCTGCTCATCCCTTGCTAGATGTTCCTTTTCACGTCATAACAAGGAATAGGTGTTTAGGTAATAAAAATTATCAGTGTGTTATTGTGAAAAACAGAGGAAGTCTGGAAACTTCCCAAAAAACTCACAGCAGAACGATCTCCCTTCCCAACAGGGAGAGATATGGTGCTTTGGGCCACGTTCCCTGTGATTCTCACTTACCCAAGTCACTCGTATCTCCTCCAGGTCATCAATGTGATCGGCATCTCCGTTGGTTCTGGTCTGGCCTCGGCATGTGACACGCTGATGTCCCAGGTTGGTGGCAGCTCCCTCTTCCTTGTTACTGGTGGGGTTGTCTCACCTCCTGTGTGGTGTGGGGCACAAAAGGTGGGAGGATGGATAGCAGAGGGAAGCACAATGCACCCGAGAGCCAGTTAAACCCAACCAGCCTGGTGGTGGCCGCTGCTGGGAGCAAGAAGGAAAATTACATCGCTGCCCCAGCCTTGAGCTAATGCCCAGACCCTTTGGCTCCCCACAAATCTTACTTTGGTCCTCTGTCCTCACGTAGACATATGGCAGCAAAAACCTGAAGCAAGTGGGCACCATCCTGCAGCGAGGGATCCTCATCCTGCTGCTGTTTTGCTTTCCTTGCTGGGCGATCCTCATCAACACTGAGCAGATCCTCCTGCTCCTCCAGCAGGACCCCGAGGTCTCCAGGTCAGAGTGAGATTGAGTGTGACTCCTCTCTGATCAGCAGCATATCAGGTCTCAGCCCTGCAGGCCCTGAAGCCCCTTGGTCAGGCCCATATGTGCTGAGTGTTTGGCTGAGTGTTTGTACTGCATAGGGTTGAAATCTAGGCTCTGTAGAGCTCAAATACAACTCTGCTTGGTTTGGCTCTTGCTTTTCTGCCTCATTCACTGGGTAAACATCTCTCTTTCCAGATTAACGCAGGTCTACGTGATGATCTTTATCCCAGCTCTTCCTGTAAGTTGTTGCTAAAGCTCTTGGAAGCTCTGCATGGGGAAATGAGGAAGGGTCCTTGCTCTGTAGGTCACAAGGCAGCATGATTTTGAGTTTTGCAATGTGCCTCTTAAGCCTTAATGGATGAGCACTGGCCAGCAGCTGCTGGACCAGCAAACATGAATTCCTTCATGTTAGTGTGCAGAGGCTTTTACTGCAGGCCACGTCTCTGCACAACAAGTTACAAGCTCTGGACATTGGAACCGAGTGCTGCAGAGCTCACTCAGCTCTGTGATAAAGGCTGCAGCTCACACACATGCAGCCACTGGACTCTCAGCTGTTATCTGCCTCCCTGGAGAAGCTCCTCTAAGCTGAGGCTGTGCTCCAAGGTTAAAATCAAGCATAGGCACGGGACTGCGGGCAGTGTGCCATGTTGTAGCACCCTGACACAGCCGTGCAAGAGCTGTGGGAAGCACCTTGCTGTAGGTGTTAAACTGTAGCTGGCCACTGAACCATAGAACAGCAGTGCTGACCAAATGAATTCTGACTCTTGCAGGCGGCGTTTCTGTACCAGCTGCAGACAAGATATTTACTAAGTCAGGTATTGTGCAACCGGGCTCTGGGCCAGTTCCTAGAAATGTGGATAAGGTTGGAGATCTAAGTTCATCCTGTCCTGGGGAGAGCTGGGCTGAGGAATGTGTGATCCACAGCCTCCAGCTGGCTCTGTGGGACAGGAGGAGCTCGTGGGAATCACCTTCGGGTCGCTCCGTTCTCCTGCTGCTACCTCTGAGCTCTGCACTGAGCTGATTGTACCAGCTGCTGAGCCCTGCATGCTGTCCTCTGCATGTCTAATGCAATCTGATCTTACCTGAAACAGGAGCCACCTTCTTGGCTTTCTCTTCAGACACTGCTGAAGGTCTTCCTGGTGTTTGCTGGATGGTAGCTTGGGTCTTGGCTGCAGGCTTGGGAGCTTGGGCAGTGCTGGAAAAGAAAACTCTAAAGTCTCTCCTTGTCTTCCAGGCGATCATTTTGCCTCAGGTTGTGACAGGAGTTGCAGCCAACATCCTCAATGTGGCCATGAATGCCTTCTTCCTATATGCACTGAAGCTGGGCATGGTGTAAGTGTGAGCAGAGGTGGTGACAGCCTCTGCCTGGGTGCAGGGGTTGGCTTGGGGCTGTGAGGGTTTATCTTGGGTGCCATGTGTGGGGGAGAAGGGGCTGGTCCATTCCTGCAGCAAGGGATAGGTGCTTGCCACCAGGTCTGCTGGGGCTGAAAAATGAGTGAGGGTGTTGTTTATAATCTGCCTGTTTCTCTCCCCAGGGGCTCAGCCTGGGCCAACACTGCTTCTCAGTACACTCAGGCCATTCTTCTCTTCCTTTTTGTGTGGTGGAAGAAGATCCACGTGCAGACATGGGGAGGTATTCTTCAGAGCTTAACCCTTCAACAGAACAGTGCTTGGCCCTGGGGATTTGGCACTGACACCAGCACCTGGGTTGTAGGTCTGATAAAGGGATGACCATCTCCTCAATGTGGGAGAGGCTGTAGCCATGGCCTGTGGTCCCTTACTGTAGCCCCAAGCCCATTCCTGATCCCTCCACCTCTGAGATGCTCTGTGGTACAGCAGCTCTAGGCTGGTGTCCTACAACATCCCATGGGTTGCTGTCTTTAGAATGTCCACATAACCTCATGGCTCCCCTTCAGCAAGGAAAAGGAGGATCATGCGCTCATGATGCTTCATCCCTACGTTGCAGGTTGGACCAGAGACTGCCTCCTGGACTGGGGCTCCTACATCCAGCTGGCGCTGCCCAGCATGCTCATGATGTGCATTGAGTGGTGGACCTTTGAGATCGGGAGCTTCTTGGCAGGTGAGTCCAAATTCTCTTTCTGTGGCTCTGCAGAGCATCTTGCAGCCATGCCTGCTCTGGTGGCTGCCTCTTGAGTGTGTCTCTGAGCATCTCCTGCCAGCAGCCTCCTCTGCACGACTGGTTCTGCAGTTTGCTGCATGTGTTAGATGGGAACCCTGTAGTCACTGCCTTCTTGTCAGCAAAGGAAAAGTTAATGCTAATTAAAGCTAATTTTGACCTAATTAACAAAGCGGTGAATCTTTTCCAGGGCTGCTCAGTGTGGTGGAACTGGGTGCTCAGTCTGTCATTTACGAGCTCTCCTCTGCAGCATACATGGTAAGGACTGGATGCATAAAACTGGGATCAGCTGCAGATTCCCTACCGGGGAAGAAGACAATTGCTGCAGGCTGTTGGCACTCACCTCTTCTTTGTCTGTTGCTTCTCAGGTGCCTCTGGGCTTCAGTGTGGCCGTGAGTGTCAGAGTGGGCAATGCCTTGGGATCAGGGGATGTAGTGCAAGCCAAGACGTCCTGCATCACTGCTCTGCTGTGCGCAGGTCAGCCCAGGTCCCTGCAGAGGGGAATAAAAGAATGATCAGCAATAGGTTCAGTTCACCTCTCACAGGACTGGTGACCATTCCCAGCAACCCAAGCCCACTTGTTCAGATTACTCTGTTTGGACAGGGTGAGACCCTGGCTCTTCTGCCAGGGAAGAAGGAACTTAGTGCAAAGGCTTTGATAGTTAAAGTGCAATTTAGCATTCTGTCTTCCACCTCCAGATGGTGGATAGAGCATCGAGGGGCAAAGTAAGGACAGCAGCCTTGTCCTGTTCTGCAGTAATACCTGGAGGTCTGCCAAGCCCCATCCCCATCACATGAAGCCCCTGAGGTCTGGACCTGCTCAAGAGCAGCAGATGCAGCCTTTGAGGCTCATCCATTTCTTTTTCTTTCAGGAGTTTTTGCTGTGGTGGTTGCAACGTTACTGGGAACCCTCAAAGACGTGGTGGGCTACATCTTCACCAATGACAAGTGGGTTGGCAGCTTTCTTTGGGGTTTTGTTACCGTTTTCGGTAACACGATCTGCCCAGGAGCAGCTCAGAGGCTGGGATCAGGGTTTGCAGCTGGCAAATGATGCATCAGAACCAGAGTGCCCTGAGCCCAAGCTGTGCTGCTTTCCCTGATCAGTACATACGTCTTTCTCACAGGGAGATCGTTATGCTGGTGTCCAAAGTGATGATCATCTTCGCTCCATTCCACTTGTTTGATGCAGCAGCAGTGAGTAACCCAGCATGGGGAGCAATTCCTCCCTGCAAGTAGAGGTACAGTGGGGAGTGCAAAGCTGCCTTTAGGTCTTTCTTGATCTACTACAACAATACAGAAAAGCAAACTGAAAAAACTGTCACAGCAGCAGCTTGCATCACCCGTAGCACCTCAGCATCCCCTGTGCTTGGCACTGCTGCAAAACAACTCTTCTGTAGCTCTCAAGTTCTCCCTCTTCCCTGCTGCTTTCCTTAGGCAACCTGTGGTGGTGTGCTGAGAGGCACAGGGAAGCAGAAGCTGGGTGCCATCGCCAACGCTGTCGGTTATTACGCCGTCGGTTTGCCCATCGGCATCTCACTGATGTTTGCAGCCAAAATGGGGGTGCTGGGTACGTGCATCCTCTGCTCAGCACTGCAGCTCTGGCTGTGTTTGGCATTTTGACCGTGACTTTGACCGTGAAAGCAGTGAGGTTTCCATCAGCACTCAGTGAAGTTTCATTTCCATTCTGGCAGGTCTGTGGGTAGGGATGATCGTTTGTATCTCTTTGCAATCCCTCTCCTTTTCCGCTTTTGTCATGCGCATGGATTGGAAGAAAGCTGCAGAAGAGGTAAGACTTGTGCTTCCCTGCAGTAACTCTTAGTAGGTGTTATGCCAGCTTTTGCCCCAGAATAGCAGTAAAGATGTCTGTGGGAAGCTAAAGTGACACCAGCTCTGTCCTCTTCTGTAGCACTGGAGCAGTTTGGGCTAAGCATGCCTGCTTTGGGAGGGTCAGGGAGGAGGCTCGGGTTTGCTTGGCTGGGCAGCACATCTCTGCTCTGAGAACAACTCTTGTGTGTGCTTTTAGGCTCAAGTCCGAGCTGGTCTGAAAAAACAGCTGGAAGATGTGAACTCCAATGGCACAGCTGCTAACAAAACATCTGCTATAGGTACGTAACCATGCCTTACAACAGGGAGGGAGCACAAATCCTCCACCCAGCCCTTCCTCTCCTTCACAGCCACAGCTGTGGTGACTGTCCTTCCAGCTTTGATATCTGGAAAGAGCACAGTGTCTGTGCTGGTAGCCGTTACCCTTGTCACCACCCTGGCTGCTCCAAGGGAGAGCCAGAGCACACCTGCATCTTCCCTCAGCCCTGAGCCTCAGGAGAGGACCCTCAGGACTGGACAGGGGGCAAATGGGGGCTGCAGGCTTTGCAGCTCAGCTTCCCTGCAACACTCACCTCTCTTGCACAGATTACATCTCTGTAGACACAGACAACGTGGAGACCGTGGTGCTGCCCGACAGCATGGTGGGAAGAGGCGAGAGGCTCCCAGATCACCAGCTCATCACTCAGGAAGAACCAGTGGATGTCCCTGCTCCTCCTGCTGTGGCATGGAGGGCCCTGATTGTCTGCCGGGTGCTGGCTGCTGCTGCTGCCCTTGCTGTGCTGCTGGTGGGCGTGCTGGTCCGGCTCCTGACAGCCCACAGCTAGAGGCAATGCCAGCGTGCCACCAGGGAACTGTGCAGGAGGGCACACGGTGATGCCCCAGGAGGATGGTGCAGGAAGTAATCCTCCCTCAGCCCCTCACAGAGTTCACTTTGCTCCATTTCTGGTTATAATACTTTGTCCCACACACATGGTTCTTAAAGGGGTTGAGCTTGAGATCTGGTCACTTCTCCAGCGCTGCCTGGGGGTTGTCACTTTGTGAAGCTGGAACTTATCTTTGGCATGGCCAGGGATGGAGACAGGGACCTCGTGCTGCCATCCTGCTTCCTCCTTGCTGGGAGCACTTGTCCAAATCATTTGCTAATGGCAGAGGCCCAGACTGCCTGCTCACTGTGGTCCCTTGCACATCAGCACCTCAAGGTGTTGAAATCCACTGCTATGCAAGGGCCACTGGGTTGGAAAAGGGCTGAATGCTCTGCCAGGGCACTGGGCGCCGGCCCTGCATGACAGGCACAGGGCCTAGAGCAACTTTTCTTTGCACTTTTGTAAGGTGGAATTTTGATACAATAAAAGTTTTCTGAGTAAATGTTGTGCTGTTAACAGGGTGTGAACGTGACCCCGGTCATCGGCACAACCGAACTGGGTGAGGGGAGGGGTGTGCTGGTTTGTGTAGATGACCAAGCCTCATAGGAATAACCTTAAACTCCTGGCCTTAGGGTTGGAGGCTGCAGAAGCAGTCAGGGATCTGTGCACCTCAGCTGCTGCTGGTTCTCACTGGGGAGGGTGCTGTGGTGCTGCCAAGGGGATGCCACGTATGCTAACAGCACTGCCTGCTTCCTGTACGAGCTCTCCTACCTCCAGCCGTGTGGCAGCAGTGATGCTGCAGGCTGTGTGCTCAGCCCTCAGATGCAATCATCAACTGCAGTGGTGCAAGGCATGTCCTGGCATGTAGAAATGGGTGCCTGTGGGTGGGATGGTTCCTACAGGAGCTCACAGCAGGCATTAAGCACAGCCCCTCTGGGCCGTCCTCAGGCGTGGGAGGACGCGACAGGCTGTGCCCTGCTTGCAGTCACTGTTGTTTTGGCACCACAGCCCGGGAAGAGTAGGACAGGCATGGAGCCACTGTCTGCCCTGTGCAAAACAGGGGCTGCTCCCAGGGCAGCAGCTCCCAGCCATTGCCAACACCTTGTGCTGGGCCCAGGAGGGATGCTATATTTGGCCTGGCACAGCAGTGCTGCTGAAACCCGACGCGGCCGCGCTGTGCGGGGCAGACAGCTGGAGCCAATGGGGCCGGCTTGTGTTGGCCAACACCGTGCTGAGATGAGAACGGCCCAGAACACTCACAGCCAGCCGCCAGCAGCGGACGGACCCACGGACACTCCATCTCTGCTGGAAGAGGAGGACGACCTTCTTGCCCACCGGACACAGCAGAGCAGGGTATGAGGGCTCACAGGGACGATTTGGGAAGGCTCAGCTCCTACATCACTTTGCGCTGAGTTCCTGGGCTCCTCTGCAGTGGGACGCAGGATCTGCGCCGCTCAAAACCCAGCTCCCTGCCCTGCCCATCGCTGCTGGCTGCACGCAGCCAAGACAGCCAGGCTGAAGTTCAGCCCCAGGTTACACATTGCTCACCCTGTCGGGGCTGAGGCACCCGGCAGCTTTAACAGAGCGCGGAGAAAAGGGAACGTTTCACTCCTGGCAGAGAGGCAGAATGAAGCGGCCTGAGGAGAATGGCATCAGCGAGGGGACAGCTGACGGCTGCAGCAAGAAACCTCGCTGGATGCAGCGCCTGATCCCAGACAGCTTCTGGGAGGATGCTAAGAAGCTGCTGGTGCTGGCAGGGCCGCTGGTAAGGACCCAGAGAGGGGAGCAACCAAGGGCTGCCAAACATGCTGCCCTCCTGTCCGAACCTGGAGGTGACCCTCACACCCATCTCCAACCTCTACATCTCCTCTCCTCATGCTCAGATCCTGATCCAGCTGCTGATTTTCCTGATACACCTGGTCAGCTCCATCTTCTGCGGCCACCTGGGCAAGGTCGAGCTGGCGTCCGTCACGCTGGCCATCGCGGTGAGCATGCTGTGGGGCTGGGATATGGGGATGGGTGGCTGAGACCTGCAGGCAGAGGGGACAGAGGAGACTTCAGCCTCCTTTGAACTGTTTTCACTTAAAAGCCTTAAGTACTCACTTCTCTCAGTTTGTATTCCCATTTCCAGGTTATAAATGTCACTGCCATCTCTGTAGGATATGGTCTGTCTTCAGCATGTGATACCTTGATATCGCAGGTGGGTGTCATTGCCCTGGGGCCACCCACCAGGGTTTCAAGCATCACCCGGTGCTGCCGAGCTCCAGCAGCCATCCCATAACCAGGAGCACTAAAGTCCAGAGGAAACACCGAGCCCTTCCCAGGAGCAGAGCTCATGCCGTGCTCTCGCCCTCAGACTTACGGCAGCAGGAACCTGCTGCGCGTGGGGGTGATCCTGCAGCGTGCCATCATCATCCTCCTGCTCTGCTGCTTCCCCTGCTGCGCTGTGCTCATCAACATTGAGCAGCTCCTGCTGCTCATCCGCCAGGACCCTGAAGTCTCCAGGTTGGGTGGTCTCCAGGGGACGCTGCTTTGGTGGGGTGCTGGTGGCCGTGTCCCTCACTGACCGTGCCTCTCGTGTCCCCCAGGTTAACCCAGCTCTATGTGATGGCATTTGTCCCTGCTCTGCCGGTAAGCCCTGGCTGCTGGCCGTGTGTTTTGCACCTTTCCGTCCCAGCACTGGCCCCAGCTCATGCACTTGTTTGCTTTCCAGGCGGTGTTTCTGTATAACTTGGAGACCAGGTACCTGCAGAACCAGGTGGGTCCCACACCCCATACCCACCCAGGCTCCTCTCAGCTCAGGCCTCCCCCAACCCCACACCCATACAACATCATGGAGAGCTCTTCCAGAGAGATAAATCCCTCTACCCAGTGGACTTCCATCCAATGTCCCCATCTCAGAACTATACCTCCAATGCCAGAAGTTTCCTCTCTTGTTGTTAAAGCTGTGGGGAGGTGGGGGCTGGTGGGGTCTTCCCACGGCCATGGCAGATGGCAGCCCCCGTTCACCCCTTGTTGCAGATGATCATGTGGCCCGTGGTGCTGAGCGGGCTTATTGGCAACATTGTCAATGTGATCGCCAACTCCGTCTTCCTCTATGTGTTCCACCTGGGAATTGTGTGAGTAATGCCTGCAGGGGGAAAAATGAAACCCAAAAGTCATTTTTGGGGACACCACACCAGCAGCCACAGCCTGTGCTCCCAGGGACATCAGGCTCCAGCACCCCAAACCCGGGGAGATGTGAGCACGATGCCAACAGCCTTTCTCATTTCCTTTGCAGGGGTTCTGCCTGGGCCAACACCATTGCTCAGTATTCTCAAACCATTTTCTTGTTCCTGTACATTGTAGGCAAGAAGCTCCACGTGAAGACGTGGGGAGGTAAGGCATCTCCCTCCAGTTCCTGCTTGACGCATGCGTTCGTCAATCTTCTACCGCTTCTTCTGAGTGAGCTCTGTTAGTGCTGGAGGGGAAACATTAACCCCAGCCTGGGGATGCTGTGCTGCTCCAGTGGCAGCCTGGCATGCAGGCGTTGGCAGAGCGCTGCGCAGTAACCATTAATTGGGGAGGAAGGAAGCCCTTTGTCAAGGCGTTTTAGGGTTTGGCCCCGAAGCCGGATGAGCGCAGGCGTAGGCATGAGGTTGTCCTCAGGTGCACTCATCTGGGAAGGATGAGCTGAGTGTTGCAGCTCAGCTTGTATGTGCATGCTTCGCAGCTAGAGGTCACATGGAGCCCATGAGAATTATGCCGGGGGCTCTGCCAATAGCTCCTGGGGTGATATTTGGCCAGGCTGGCTTCCATCAGGACGGACCATCTTCTCCATAGAATCATTAAGGTTGGAAAGACCAACAAGATCACATCCAACTACCAACCCATGCCTGTGACTGCTCTAGACCATGTCACTCAATGTGACATCTTTTCTTGAACACATCTACAGACAGTGACTCCATCACTTCCCTGGGCAGCCCGTTCCAAAAGCATCAACACACCTTCCGAGAAGAAACCTTTCCTAATATCCAACCTCCAAACCCTCTCCTCTCTATAGGATGGTCCAAAGAGTGCCTGCTGGAGTGGGACAGCTTCACCTCCCTGGCCATCCCCAGCATGCTCATGATGTGCATCGAGTGGTGGACCTATGAAATCGGCAGCTTCTTGATAGGTCAGCAGAGGGAGGGGGACTGACAGGGTGAGTTGGGGCACTGTGGTTATCACAGGGGCTGAGCACCTGAACCTCCTGCCCCCAGGGCTGCTGAGTGTCGTGGAGCTGTCAGCACAGTCTGTGATCTACGAGGTGTCCGTCGTTGCCTTCATGGTAAGTGATGTGGGTTTTGGGTTCAGATCGGGCTCCCTAGGGTCAGTCCCAGCTCAGATACAGTCAAAGCTCAGCTTCACTCAGTTCCATTCTCTACATCTCCCCTCTCCGTGCTCAAGTCCTTCATTGCTTCTCCCTCCCCTTCCCACGGAGTAGATGACCAAAATTAAGCTGATGCTCCATTGTCCCTCCTGCCACTGTCTTTACCCCCTGTTGCTGCAGATCCCTCTGGGGCTCGGCACAGCTGCCAGTGTGCAGGTGGGCAACGCTCTGGGCGCCGGTGACATCGAGGTGGCCAAGAGGTCCTCCTCCACCAGCATGCTCTGCACAGGTCAGCAGCAGTGCTCTGCCCCATTCTCTCTCTGCCCCAGGCCCCCCATTGCCATCAGGATGCACTCACCTCCTTGCTTTCCTTTCCAGGGGGGTTTTGCGTTGCTGTAGGAGCCATTTTAGCTGCCACAAAGGACGTGCTGGGATACATCTTTACCAATGAAAAGTGAGAGCCCCCAGCTCCCGCCATGGATGCTTGTTCCCAAAAAGAGACTGCTGGCTCTTTGTCTGCAGGGAGATCATCGACTTGGTGGCCTGGGTCATGCCTGTCTACGTCGTCTTCCACTTGTTTGAAGCCATGTGTGTAAGTCCCTGGGAGTGCTGCTACTTTTAGGAGGGGATCTTGGTGCTGAATGCACAAGAAGCGCCGAACCTGCAGGATGGGGCAAAGAGAAATGAGCACTGGGACATGATTTGGTGGGAGTGGTGGTGATGGCTGATGGTTGGAGTGGATGAGCTTAGAGGTGTATTCCAACCCTAATGATTCTATGAAGGGAGGCAGAGCAAGTCTTGTATTCAGAGCTGGTTCACAGCCCCATCCTGCTCCCTCTCCCCGCAGTGTGCCTGTGGTGGGGTGCTCAGAGGCACAGGCAAGCAGAAATTCGGTGCCATCCTCAACGCTGTGAGCTACTATGGTGTGGGACTGCCCTTGGGAGCCGTGCTGCTCTTTGTGGCCAGGATTGGCGTCATAGGTACTGCCTCCCCCAGCCCCCATAGATGGATGCGGCTCCCTACTGCTTCTTCTGCCTGGCTCTGCAGTGCTGCTGGGGACTGCAAGCACTGGAACAGTCAGTGCACTGCTGAGTGCCCTAAATCACCCTGGGAAAAGCCACTGCTGCAGCTCTGCTGGGCAGCCCCATTCCCACATCCCTGCCGATGTCCCCATTCTTGGCTCACTGGCCCTTCTCAGTTGGGTCTGCCTGGTGACGTTGCCCAGCTGACACCAGCGCACCCCCGGCAGGGCTGTGGCTCAGCATGCTCGTCTGCGTCTCCATGCTCTGCACCTGCTTCCTCATCTACATCTGCCGCATGGACTGGAGGAAGGCGGCTGAGGAGGTAACCGTGTGTGCACCCATCCACTGGGATGGGATGGCAAAACCCAGGGCTCCGTGTTTGGGACCACGATGCTCCTTTGTGTTCTGCTTCCTCCCAGCACCTCGAGATGCCCCTCTGTGCTAACAGCTCTGAGGTTCCCACTTGCTTTGGGGAACTGGGGGCATTTCTTTGGGGAACTGCACCATTTCTGGACGCACAAAACACGCATAGGCACTGCAGGTGGGGATCCCCCCCCCTGGCTGAGTCTCATTGCTCCCCCAGGCTCAGCGCCGCGCAGGAGTGACCCCGCAGCCGCTGGAGGAGGAGCAGCAGCAGCAGAACGCCGCACCGCACAGCAAGGGGCCAACCCTGATGCCCCACACTGACCTCCCTGCTGCAGCGGTGCGGGGCTGCGTAGGTACGGCCGGGGCTGGGGATGACGGCTACGCGCCTGCAGCGCGCAGATCTCTGGCAGAGGCTCACGGCGACCTCTCCTCATCTCATTGCAGCGGGAGTGGATGCTCAGAACGGCGTGGTGCTCACGGGCATCACCAGGACGGATGGTGCCAACTTCCAGGAGGAGCCGCGCGGTGCGCTGCCGGGCGCTGCGCCCACCTGGGGGCTGATCCTGCGGCGGGGATTGGCGGCGGCCGCGGCCATCGCAGTGCTCGCGCTCGGCGTTGTGATAAAGCTCGTGACCGGCAAACACTGACCTGCGGCGGGGCTCAGGGACTTGCTTTGGGGACCGAGGCCCCTCCTGGCGGATGGATGCGCAAAGTACAGACCGGACTGCACCTGGACGTCCCGTAGAGTTCAGCCTTTGGCAGCATCTCATCGGCTTCTGCTTGGGAACGGCCCCGCAGCTGCTCCGACTCCAGGAGCACGGCTCTGGGCTGCTGCACCGAGCAATGCAGGCGTCCCCTTCCTGCCCTGCTGCAGCTCTCAGCCGCCGATCGGAGCTGAGCTCACATCACTGCTCTGACAATGCCAAATAAAGAATGAACTCAACCGGGCTCATCCTTTAGGCACTGCCCTTGGGACACCCAGATGGCTTCTGCGGTGAAACAAGGCTCTATCCAGCAAGGGTCAGGCTCCCCATTCAGCACTATGAGGTGAAAGACGACCAGTGCACCAACAGAACATAGAAATCCCATTACAGGTGAGATTGCCAGCTGCTCAGCCCAGGCTCCCATCCATAGCACACGCTGTTGGGCTCACTGCTGGCATGAGGCAGCTTTATGAGGGATCACATGAGACATGTTACACAGCCAGGCTCAGCAATGAGTGATCTTCCTCCAGCATGATTCCCCCAAGCCCAACAGCTGCTCCATGGGCTCCTCTCTGCAGCGTGGAGCAGGAACTGCTCCTTTCTGCCTGCACCACTGGGACGTGGCCAAAGGTTTGAGGCTGCAACAGCTCAGCAGCAGACTGAATTTTCCGGGGCTCCTTTGCTTCCACTCGGTCAGTTGGTAGAGAAGAAACTGTAGCAAAGAAGTTTAGCAATAGGAATTCAGGATGAAAATGATGGGTTATGGCTCTGCTGGGTGCAGGGAATCCTTATCATAGGGCCACTACCTGCAGAAGGACAGACAGGCTGGGTGTCCCCAGGGGGAGCAGAGCCCCACAAAGCAATGGGGTGATGGTGGGGAGTCAGGTGGGGCTCAGGGAACACAGAGCACCACTCAGCTGTATCACCACCGCCACTGCAACGCCCAACACAGCCAACACCATCAGCCCAGTGCAAGGCAAGTTACCCCAAGGCAGTTGTCTGCCAGCTGTCTCTCAGGCAGAGCAAGCAAGCACAAGCCCTGCTCCTACACAGCGCTCTCCTCCCACAAGAAGATGTTTGGCCCTGGCCCAATGCAATCTGCCCTTCACCCAGCCATCCCCTGGTGCTGTGAGCTCACAAGCATCAGATCCCAGCTTGCTGCTCTGTGTGATGGGAGGGAAGTGCTGCTCCTTCACTGCAGTGCTGCTCAGGCACTGGGGACCCTCCAACACCGTGCACAGCCGAACCACTGCTTGCTGCTGAAGGCGTGAAAGTGATCCCACTTGTCCCAGGAGGGCAGACTGAGTGCAGGTGGGACACACTTATGGGATGGATTGGCACAGAATAGGGGCAGAAGCAGCCCAGCCACTCAGTGATCCTCCCCTGACAGCAGATCACCGCGCTGTGATCTGTGCTGCTGTGCTGGGGTGGAGGCACACGTGAAGCAGCTGCCGCCTGCACACATGTGCCAAGTTCAGCCGGAGCTGGGGTGGCACAGGACAGGCAGGATTCCACAGGATTGCAGTGACTTACCACACCTGCTTTCTTATTTAAATTCTTAGTATTTATTTTATATTTGCAAAATAATTCATTACAAAGCCTTAGCATGTGGATTTTCACCAGACGCGAAGAAATCCCCGCTACTGCGTAGTGGTCACAATTTGCTAAGAAATGCAGCCAGTCATCACTTCCAGATTTCCTTTGAAGAACATTTACAGGGTCCTCCCACCTTCAATTTCCCCACCACCATCTCCCCTGATTAGAACAGGTCCCATGTCATAACCCAGTGCAAGACCATAGCAGACCCAGAAGCTCAAACACATTGGGGTACACAGTCCCAGTAATTGCTTTCTCCTGTTCAGGGGTCTCTTGTCATTAGTAAAATACAGACATGGCACTTATCTTCTTTGTAGTCTATCACATAATTGCTATGATGTGCCCCACTGCCCCCAAAAGGAGTCAGCCTGCACCACCCAACAGCTGTGGATGATTCTGGCTCACAGGGACCCAGGAATATTCCACCCCAAGTAGATGGCAGGTGGGAATCTCACCCCATTTATTCATAACCGACACTGTCAGAACAAAGCACGAGCCAGCACACCAGCAGCACAGCCTGTCTCATACCTGTCACCAAGAATAATGCTGGCTGGAGCACAACAGAAGTGACTGATCCCAGAACTGCAGGGAAAACACTGCCAGGCCAATTACAGCCGAAACACGAGCTCCTGTTTATCAGTGGATGAAGCCAGGCAGTTTGGTGTAAGACTGGGGGTGTCAGGTGCTGTATTTCTTGCTCTTCAGTTCTCCTTTTGAGAGCTCATATCCACTGGTCCCTCTGTTTCAGTGTGGCTTGTTAGTAAGCAGGAGTCCAGGCCTCCTCATGATTAGTGCCTTCCCAAGGCTGCTCTGCGTGCTCAACAGCTCACAGAAATAACCCAGCTCAAAAGAAAAACAGGACTGAAGTGAAAGAATCAGACACGAAGTGAGCGCCCAAAATATGACTTGCACACAGGTTATGGCACCTTCTCCTCTTTTCAGCAGAAAGCCATCTGTGAAAGCAAAACACAACACCACCCTCCTGTAAGGGTTTTGCTGAAACAAGACCAACTTCCTTCCTAGACCAATCTGAAGCAACTCTCCTTGCTCCCCTTGATGTCCCCAGGGTGCCACCACATCCAGCTCATCTGCCTCCACCCCTGGGCATGCCGGTTATCTCAGACACTGTGTGAGCTGCAGGGGAAGGCGCTGCTCCCCAGTGCCAGGAGCCCCCCATGCCCCACATCCACTGCTCTAACAGTGCTTCACCCAACCTCAACCAGGTCTGCACACGGGAAAAGAGAAAGGCTCCTACCTCACTGTAACAGCAACAGCAGTGCTCTGAAGCCTGCTCCTCCTTAACACACACTGAGCCAGCCCAGCCTCTGAACAGCCAGCACAACCAAGAGAGCTTTTCTCTTCAGCACAGACTGGTGATTCTGAGAAAACCCAAATGATTTCGAGATGCTGTGAGCTCCCCCCTTCACTGAGGCGTTCACCTAAACAGGGCTTGCTTCCCTAGCTGTTACTTCAAGGCCAGTCATTGGCTCTTCTACCTCCTCCTGGACTCAGCTATGCAGGCTGATTATTTCCTCCTGCTTGTTGGGCTCCTGTGCTTCTGATCACAGCTGTCTGAAAAAACGGACCACCCCCATCTGCCTCTGCAGGGAGCTTCACACAGGTGTCACCATCCAGGACAGAGAAAGAAACAGCACAGAAGGCAGGGAGATTTCTCTGAGGATATTTCTGTTCTAGGTGTCATTGGCAAGAGTGAGAAATAGATGCTGATCATTTCAGGTGGGCCAAGCATAAGTGTCAGGAGACAAAAAAAAGCAGACCAGGCTCTAAGAAAGGTCTGAAATTGCAAAGAGAGGACATGCAGAAGGTAAAACAAATTGCTCATGCACTCAAGTAGAAAGCAAAGAGCCACAGCTCACCTTTATCACCAATGCTGCCACAACACCCAACAGGGCCAGCATGATCAGTCCCACACGGCCCTTGTTAAATCGCTTCAGAATAAAGAATTTGGCCCAATCCAACTTCTTCTGGCTGCTGGGAGGGTACCGGACCCTGTTTGTGCCCTCCATCTTCAGATCCTTGATCAAGCAGGAGCGGTGGTGGGAGAAGGTGTCAAAGCTGTGTTTGCCGTGGTAGGCGCCCATCCCGCTGTTCCCTGAGACATAGAGCATGGCCAGACCACACTGTGACCTCAGCTGGTCACACTTGTGGCCAACAGCAAACCAGCCACTGCTGTTCTAACAAGCAGCAAGTCAAAGTGCTTAAAGAGGAGCTCTGGTAACTTACCAACACCACCAAAGGGCAAGGTGGAGAGGAAGAAATGCATGATGACATCATTTCCAGTAACGCCCCCGCTGGAGGTTTCTGAGATAACTCTCTTGATTAACTGAAAGAAGAAAAAACAACAGCAAAAAATTACAAAGGCCCAGAGGAGACAAGCAGGACTGAGAGGAGAGCATGGGCTGCCAGGCCATCATATTAATTTTCTCTCGCTGACAACTCAACCAAGCCCTCTCCATGCAACGCTAACTGAAAAGTTGGAAAGACTAGAGCTCTTCTCTACAGCAAGATACTAAAAATACCAAAATCATGAACAGCTACACGACATGCTAATCACCAAACAGGAAATTCAGCTGTTATCCTTCTGCTTCATAATGTCATGCAAATTCAGAGCCCTTCCGCATGCACCAGGCAGCTCTGGGAACGTGAGACAAATATTGCAATCCACACAAAACAGGAGCCAATGCAGGTCCTGTGGGGAGCTGTGCCTGGGGCTGCTGCACAAAGAACCCAAGTGTGCAGAGCCAGCATTGTGGAGGAGCAGGGCCCCAATCCACCTTCTTGTCGTTGGAGAAGACATAGAGGGCAAGCGGCTTCTCCCGACGGTTGATGAACTCAATGGCTTCGTCTACGTTCTTCACAGACACAATGGGCAGAACCGGCCCAAAGATCTCCTCTTCCATCACCTTGGACTCCGCAGAAACGTCCGTGAGGATGGTGGGTGCTGAGGAGGGCAGGAAATGTGCTGAGCACAGATGGTGCCAACACGGGACTGGGGGCTGCTGTCTGCTTGCCAGCCCCCCACCCTCCCCTGCCCAACACCTGGCACAGGTACCTATGAAGCAGGAGGCCTCATCAGTTTCTCCTCCATGGGCAATCTTCTGCCCTTCCAGCAGGCCCATGATCCTCTTGAAGTGATGCTTGTTGATGATCCTTTCATAATCCGGACACTTCTTCACATCCTCCCCATAGAACTCCTGCCATAGCACACAGCACAACCAGCTTAGCAGCAGCATCGGAGCTGCCAGGATAGGAAATGACACCAATGGGGTGAGAGGAACAACTGCCACAGCACGAGAGCTGCCACGCTCACCTGCAGCGTCGCCTTAATGTTCTCCACCACCTGGCTCTGGATGGATGGGTGGCACAGGATGTAGTCTGGGGCAATGCAGGTTTGCCCACAGTTCATGTACTTCCCCCACGTAATCCGCCTGCAGAAAAACAGATAGGGGTTTTCTCTGTATCGTCTTTTCTAATCCCACCGCCCTGTCAGCAGCACCACACGGGAACCTGCGGCCCCTCAGAGCCCACACACATCCCTCCACCCCACTGCTCAGCCCCACAGCAGGCTGACCTGCAGGCAACGGCCAGGTCGCAGTCCGTGTCGATGTAGCAGGGGCTCTTCCCACCCAGCTCCAGGGTGACAGGTGTCAGGTGCTTGGCAGCCGCTGCCATCACGATTTTGCCCACGGCAGAGTTCCCAGTGTAAAGGATGTGATCAAACCTCTGTGTCAGCAGTTCTGTGGTCTCAGGCACTCCCCCGGTGACCACCGGGTACAGCTCCTGTACGTACAAACAAGAGCCCTGCATGTACCTTGATTTAAAGCAATTAAATCAAGTGAGCAGCTGTCCATAAGGCCATGCCCTCTGCTTCTTCCAATTAAATGAAGTTTTATTTACTACACTGTCCCAAAGAAACGAGGAAAAAAAACAGAGCTCAAGACCAGGGCTGAGTGAGGCTTCCACACTTTAAGACTTGGAGCATAAATGACCAGCAGGCACTTCCTTTCCTCAGCTCTCACTCCCCACCCAGAGAAAACACTCACTGCCTAGAAAAAACACACATGCTGGAGCTGTGCTGTCAAGAGGAAAACTCTGGGTGAAACAGTGCAGCAGATACCAAACAAGAAGAAGGGAAAACACATCGGGCTACCAGCACAGCAGGACATGAATACCAGAGCCAAGTGCTGCTAAGCAAGCAGTCCGATTCACAGGAAAAGCACAAACCCATGCCTACAGGCCAGGTCCCAAAAAGAAAATATTGCACAGCCCTTAATGCTATGATGAGCATCAAAAAGAGGGCCATGTTGCAGCACGACTGTGAAGGCACAATAAGTTACATGAAAGCAGGAAGAATATAGCAGTGTGCTGCCTGCATCCTCTACAACCAGTTCAAATATTCCTCTCTCTCCTACCTATGTCCTTTTGGTGATAAGAGGCAAATAATTCAACTCTAACCCACAGCAGCCACGTGAAACCAAGGCAGATATTTCCTCGAGGTATCCAAACACCAGGCACCAAGTGTACTCACCGGGTCCAGGTACTGAGGGAGGATGTCGGCGATCAGCTGGGACGTGTGCGCACTGATCTCCGATGGCTTCACCACCACCGCATTGCCTAGGAGACACACACAGCCCTCGTGCTCCTCTCGTGCCCCCACAAAGACCCTCATGAGGGATGCGGGCCGCGGCGGTTCCCACCTGCGGCGATGGCCCCGATCAGCGGCTGCATGACCAGCACGAAGGGGTAATTCCAGGCTCCGATCACCAGCACCACCCCCAGCGGCTCGGGGTTGACGTACGCCTCGTCCCGGAGCGTCAGGAGGTTCTTTTTCACCGGCCGAGGAGCCGCCCACGACGGCAGCTTCTCCAAGGTCAGGGCCAGCTCCCCCAGCACCCCCATGATCTCGTGGCTGTAGGCGTTGTGACCGCACTGCAACGGCACGGATCGGGGACGGCTGGAAAGGCGCCCAGCTCCCTCCCCCCGATGGGGGAAACCTGGGTCGGAGGGAACCTTAAAGCCCGCCCGGCCCCAACCCTGCCCCCAGTACGAGCTCCGTGTCCCTCGGGGCTCGCACAGCTCTGGGCCTCCCCGCCCCGTGAGGGACAAACGACGGCCCCGAACCCCAAACCTTGTGCAGATCCGCCCCGATGGCCGCCAGGATCTCCCGCTCCTTCTCCTGCACCATCCGCTGCAGGTTCCTCAGCTGCTGCAGCCTGAACTCCAGCGGCCGGCTCCGACCCGAGCTGAAGGCGGCTCTAGCCCGGCCCACGACCTCCGCCATCCTCCCCATCACCGCTCAGCGCTCAGTCAGGAGTCTTGGCAAAAGTTTAGAGAATTGGCCACGCTCGATACACGGAAAAGTTCCGAAGAGAAACGCGCGGCGCACAGCGAGGAGCAGCGGGCCGTGCAGGGCCCGGGCGGCCCCTCAGGACCGGGGGGTTTCCCGCCCCACCGACCCCGGCCCGTCCGCGCCCCGCTCACCTCAGCGCGGCCGCTTCCGCCTTCCGGTCACGTGACAGCGCCACGCACCACCTCCCAGCTGATGGAGCGGGGGGCGCGCGGGGGGAAGGAGAAAGAAGAGCGAAAATAGGAACGAACCGGACCCTAAAAAAACGAACAGAGCAGAGCGATGCCTGCGCCGTACCTTGGCTCTCACCGTGAGGGTTTGCTGCCTTCGCTTCTGTCCGGCAGCAGCAGCGCAGCCGGCCCTGAGCCGGGTGCGGGCTGAGCTCTCGGTGCGCCGGACCGGGGGCAAATTCCAACCGCGCTCCCTTATCGGAGCAGGGCAGTGCCGCGGGGCGGCCTTCACCTCCCTGCTCTGCTGCCCTGGTGAGGTGGTGTAGAACTGCGCACGGTGACGAGGACGGCCAGGTTAAGCCCAGTACAGCACTCGTGTGGGAAACGCGGGGCAGAAAGGGAAAGGAATTGAAACGAGGCTGGGTTTATTCCAGTTAATTGGTCCTGCCTCAACTTGTTCCTCTGAGAAACGCAAGGGGATTTATTTGGAAATGATGTTCCCATTTCAGACCCAGCAGCTCCACAAGCCGCGTATCTGACACGCCTACAGGGGCCACAGTGCAAATGCTGCTCAGCCAAACCCATGCCCAGCTGAACCCGCAGCCGCTCCCTTCTGCAGCCTCCCCCGATGCCGGTTGGCTCCGCAAACAGCGCTGCTGTAGCCCATCCAGCACGGAGACGTTGCACAAGCTATTGCACAAATCTCAGCTGTAAACAGTCTGCCGGGGAAAGGAATGACAAGAGCATCTGGCAATACTTGCGTGCAGGAGGCATTATGTGGGAGAAAAACAGGCTGAGCTGCATGGAGCCCTCGCACTGATACATGGAAAGGAGCTGGGTTTGCACTCACAAGGACACAAGCAGGGAAAGTGGGAACTTTCCCTATAGGAGAATCACCTGATGGAAACATGCTTGCCTTGCTCCTGTTAGCATCCCTGCACAGAGGTGAGACAAACTCTGCCACATGCCACACTGTCTGAAAGTCCAACAAAAATGAGATAAGGAGTTAATGCTACTGCAACTCGGGTAAAAGTCTTTGAACTCTCAGAGTGGGGTAATACATTGTGCCCTGGGAAGCACTGATGCAACTCACCCTCTGCAATCAGCACACCCCCAGGGGGATGCTTGCAAGATCAGGGAGGCTGTTACCTACCTCTCTTTTCCACCATGGCCGTATTCCAGTCTGCTCTTCTGCATGTAGAATTCTCACCCTCCAGCCTGAGCATTTCCATTCCACTTGGCATCAGACGTAGCAGGCAAACGTCCCTCTTCTCATCTCATCCAGGTTTGTCTTGTGCCATGCTTTTGCAGAAACTTGGTCTTAAGGCTCCTCTGTATTGGCAGGAAAGAGCAGAAGTGTGATGCCATTCTTTAGTCCTTGCCAGGGCCATCATTTAGCCAGTTATGGTCAGAAGACAAGCTGAGAGCGTTCTCTCAGCATTGCAAAATATCAGTGGAGCCTCCCTGGAGCAGCTGGGTGAGATGCATGGATTTCAGAGAAGCCTGAGGTCTGGAGCGAGATGGAAGAAACCCTGCAGGCAGCACCCAGCGCAACGCGTGGTCTGCAGCGCGCTCCTCACGCCTTGGAGCTGACAGCATCTTCTATTTTTATTCAGTCACTAAGAAACAATAAAGGAGGGAACTATTTATGGAGAAAGTAATTAACTCCAGAAGAATCAGAAGGTAAGCAGTGCTGGGGGCTGCCTAATCCGTAGGGCTTTATGTAAAGCAGCAGAAGACATTTTACTGAGAAACCGAAGCTTCAGACCCTCCCCCCCTCCCCCCTTCCTCCCTCCACTGCAGCAGCCTCCTGCTCCTTCTTCTCTCCTGGAGTCAATTATAGCAAGGCACCACGGTGACAGACTCCTACCCCGCGCTAGGCTTGGACAACATGTCTTTGTGCTGCTCCTTGCCCTGCTCACAAAGCACTCAGCGGAGCCTGGTGAAGAAGGAATTTCGTTTAGAAGATAAGCTATGCAGTATCTCGTTTCAAGAGTCCACAGAATGACACAGCTAATCAATAAATGTTTCATTAGCTCATGCAAGTGTGCTGACACAACCAAGCAAAGCTGGCAATGCTCAACTTCTGCTTAAATATCTGCCTAGTCCACGCACAGCTCCAAGTGTTGTACAGAAAGTGACAAAATCCACAGCCAGAGGCACAAGACAGGCAGACATAGAAACCCAAATAGCACTCCATCAGAAAAAGCAGCTACAGAAGATTAACAACAGGGAGAAGCTTTAAGCAACCTCCGAGAATAAATGCAGCTCAGTTCATTTATGGCATTGCTTGTTTGTGTAAGCTGTTGCTGATCTCACAGTTGCAAGAACAAGATACTTTCTAGTACAAAGCCATGGTCTGTGGGCTGCATTGTAGACATAGCTGGGGCGTGGAAAATGTGAAAGGGACACAAAGAAACAATGAAACTGATTGGCACAAAGACTGCAACAGGACTCAACAGCACCACTGGCATTTAGTTTGCTTTCAGCCGGAGAGGAGGGGGGAGCCAGCAACATACAAAAGGCTTTTCAAAAGGTGTTTGTCCAAAGCACCATTGCCAATAGTTCGTCAGACTGGGCTCCAAGTGATTCCGAGGTGTTACTAAGATATACTTCACTGATCTGCAGAAAGGAGGAGCTAAGTGTGCACCTATTAAAGAGCCAGAGTCAAGGCTGTGGCTCGAGTTGGGCAGGGAAGTGCAGGGCATCACGGGCAGTGAAAAAAGGCAGCAGCAAGCAGGGTTCAGAGCAGATGAAAGAAAAAGTCAAAGGATCACAGTTAAGAACAAACAAACAAACAAACAAAAACAGGAGAGGAAGCAGGAGTCAAAAAAGACAAGTCACAGGCCAGCCTGGCTGAATTTTAAAGCCACAACATGATGCAAGCAGCTGCAATCAGCTTTCCTTGATCTACTTCTCCTTTCAGTGCAGTTGGGCTGCACACTGCACAGTGTTGTGACATCAGGATCACAACAATGACTGCCTCTGGACCCATAGGTGACAATGGAAATACCTTGATGTTGCTGTACAAGAGTGGCAAGAGCAATGCCAGCCTCAGGACCAACAGCTCACATGAAAAACATTTCTTAAAGTAATGTATTAGCTGCAAGTTAAATTAACTAGATTTTATCCTCTCTCTCAGAAGAAGGACTGAGAAATTCAACTGCTTCCATATAAAAAGTAGTAAATGTCAGAACCCAAATACATTTTAGATCCCTAAGTTGACATTATACACTATGGAGAAAGTGAATATGTGGAAGTACAGAAGAATATGTTGCTCCTGTGTAGATGCTAAGGTTGAACAAGGAAAGCACCGCACCAAGTATCTCCTTTCCAATTCTAGCTTCCAAGAGGCTGAAAGAAAAATACTTGGTAGAAAAAAAAAGCACTTGCTGTTCAGTATGGAGAGCTGAAGACAGAGGGCAGCTTCAGGATCTTAGTGGAATGAGTTTGTGCAGAAAGACAGGCCATGAGCATTGGTCTCCCCATGAAGGCAGCAAGAGAACACAGCCCTTCTCAGCCTGTAGTCTCATCCTGTGCACCTGTAGTCTTACTGGCAGGAATGGAAGAACGAAGCTTGAATCCTGAGGGTAGAAAGAACACCAACAGAAAACTGAGTTTCTGGGACAAGCAGCCTATCTCCCAGGCATGACTTTGCTCTGTTCCTCAATTCACGTTCAGACAAATCATTAGCATTCCCTGCTGTTTTCCCAAAGCAACCGAAAACAGAACTGGGGACACCTTGTCCCAGAGCTCTCCAGACATAATGAAACACATTGCCCCATCCAGCCCCGATGCTGAGGTAAGAGAAGATTCAGTGATTGATTTAACACCACTGATCTTTGTCACAGAGAAACACAAACTCATTTTTACCATAGAAACACTTCTAGTGTCAGTATTTATTTTACCTTAATATACATTTATACAGGCCATAATAAAAAGGCTATTACACAACAGTTCAGTGAGTTATTACCTAATTTCAAGAATAATGCATGCAATTACAAAGGAGAGGTAGAAACACTGTATTAAAGACCTAAAAATACAAACATTATATAAACAAACACTTTCAAATTAACTGTTGGAATTTCATACAGATAAATAAGGTAAAAAGTACATTACTCTGTCAAAGAAAAGGAAACACATGGTTATCCGAACACTGAAAGAATATTTTGATGTGTAAGCCCTGTACAACTTTGTCAAATAGTTCAGACCACTGTGTTTAAGAGGATTAAAATGATTTTGTCCTGGAGAATGGTTTATTCAAGTATTCGAGCAGTTGAGTAACAAAAAAGTCCCAGAAATGAATTACAGGAACCATTTCCAGAGAAGCTGATCTGCCTAAATGCTTTGCAAATCACTGTCCTGATAATCTCATGGGATGCTTGAAATGATAATGCCTATAAGGCTAAATGAAGCTTCCCACCTCTCCCTCAAAATGCACACAAAGTAATCCTGATTTTTCACACACACACACAATGTAGATACTCTACATCAATTAATCAGCATCTCAAACTCCAACATTACTTTGTTTTCGTGTGGTTCCTCGCAGAACCTCCCAGTTTACAGTATTTCTTGTAATACTGCCCAAGAAACAAAACTAGAGAGTCGTTACACCCCTAGAGACTGCAGGCATTAATGCACATAATTGCATGCACAAAAGATGCAACCAAATCTATATAAAAAGCAAACAACCAGCAACTCAACATTGCTATTACTGTAAAAGTTCAGAGCAGTAGTTACTCAAGTATTAGACAAATAGGTATAAAATGGAAAGGTTCACATGAATACAAGTTTTTACAGTTTGTTTGAAAGTCTTCTAGAAGCTACATTTGAAATTCTGAAAAGAATTTTATGTACACGAAATTCAGCCAAGTCCATTGTGCCTTCTCTCTTTTATTTTTTTTTAGTATAGTTCTTCAAAAATGAATATACAGTTGATTTAGTAAATTAGTGCAAAATAAAGTGTTTTGGAAGAAGATCTTCAGATCGTATCCACATCAACTGAAAACCCACTGGGGTTTTGCACAGATGGAGCTCAGTTTCTTCCATTACCATTTTCCCCCATGTAAAAGAGCTTTCTCATCATCCCTTCATATGACAA